CGGGGGCCCCCGCCGGCTTCTCCGAGATCGTTTGCGTTACCGCACTGGGCGCGGGCGCGTCGCGCGCCGGACAAAAGAGCGACCCTTCGCCCCCCCCCGCCCGCGAACGGGCGGGGATAAGGCGCCGAGCCGACCCCCCCACCGACGGCGCCGCGGCCGCGCGCCCCTCTCCGCCCCTCCAGGTTCGGGGATCTGAACCCGACTCCCTTTCGATCGACCGGGGGCGACGTAGGCCATCGCCCCGCGCTTCCGAATGGCGTTCGCCCATCCCTTAGGACCGACTGACCCATGTTCAACTGCTGTTCACATGGAATCCTTCTCCACTTCGGCCTTCAAAGCTCTCGTTTGAATATTTGCTACTACCACTAAGATCTGCACCTGCGGCATCCGTGCGCACCGCGGCGGCCTTCCTACTCGTCGCGGCTTAGCCCTAGTGGCGTTCCTCTGCCGGCGACAGCCGGGTGTGGGCCCGACGCTCCAGCGCCATCCATTTTCAGGGCTAGTTGATTCGGCAGGTGAGTTGTTACACACTCCTTGGCGGGTTCCGACTTCCATGGCCACCGTCCTGCTGTCTATATCGACCAACACCTTTTCTGGGGTCTTACGAGTGTCGGCATCAGGCGCCTTAACCCGGCGTTCGGTTCATCCCGCAATGCCAGTTCTGCTTACCAAAAGTGGCCCACTGGGCGGCTCACATTCCACGCCCGGCTCCACGCCAGCGAGCCGGACCTCTTTCCCATTTAAAGTTTGAGAATAGGTTGAGATCGTTTCGGCCCCAAGGCCTCTAGTCATTGGCTTTATCGGATAAAACTGCTGTTCGAGCCCCAGCTATCCTGAGGGAAACTTCGGAAGGAACCAGCTACTAGACGGTCCGATTAGTCTTTCGCCCCTATAACCAGGTCGGACGATCGATTTGCACGTCAGGACCGCTGCGGGCCTCCACCAGACTTTCCTCTGGCTTCGCCCTGCCAAGGCATAGTTCACCATCTTTCGGGTCCTATCGCGCACGCTCAGGCTCCACCTCCCTGGCGAGGCGGGTTGGTGGTGCGCCCGGAGACATCGTACCCCACGGTACCGCCGCCCGCCCTCACTTTCATTGCGCCAGGTCGGGTTTCGTCAGGCCTTCCGACTCGCACGCGCGTTAGACTCCTTGGTCCGTATTTTGTATGTGGACTTTTTAACAATTTGATGGGTGGGATGTAAAATGTCCTCCAATTCTGGAACAACCTCGATCAGTCTAGTAGCTCTACACGTGCCTGTTACAGAGCTAAAACAACATTTCCACAAGTTTACAGTTGACAAATGACCGTCAAAAAGATCCTACAGGCACACACATCACCAGTGTGATGCAACTTCAACTGGCATCAATTTCATGAATGACAAATGCCTCTTTGTTGTTCTATATTTATCCCTGGCTCTCTATTTTAACAACTTGTGCAGTGCTTGTTGATTGAAAACTTCATAATTTATTTAAATCTATGCCAGCATAGTCTAATTTAAGTTTGGAATTAATTTAAAATGTATAAGAAGTGTATATATATATATATATATATATATATATATAGTCTGATGACATGAACCTAGGAAACAGGATAAAGATTGAGAACATTGTGAACATTTCTCCAAACTATTTTTTCAATTCTTTTTTTTTTTTTAACCTCTGCACATTGACTGAGGTCGACTCGGTTATGCAAATTAGGGCGCCATAGGCACATGGTGTCATTTAGGATGAATTCCTAGGATGAGTTAAAAGCCAAAGAACACAAATGAGTTTTGGGACGAGGTTTAAAGATGTCGGAAAAGGCTCGATCCCCTCTGAGCCTCAGCCTAGTTCTTTGTACCTCTAATAATGTCTGGTCCACAGACCTGAGGTGCCGAGCAGGTGTGTAGGGGCGGTGGTGCTCAGAAAGGGAAGGTGGGGCGAGGCCATTTCAAGATTTGAAAACAAATAAAAGGATCTTAAAAAGAACCCAGAGTAGGAGTTATGCGCTCCCTCTTACGAATACCAGTCAAGAGGCGAGCAGAGGCATTCTGGACCAACTGGAGATGCTGAATGGAGGATTGTACAGTCTTACAGTAATCCAGCCGGGATGTGACAAAGACATGAATTACTGTTTCAAAGTGCTCATGAGAAAGGAGAGGTTTTACTTTCACCAGCTGACTAAGATGAAAGAAGCTGGATTTAACAACGGCACCAATTTGCTGGTCCAATTTAAAATCACTGTCCAGTTTAAGACCCAAGTTTGAGACTGTTGGCTTAAAATAAGGAGCCAGGGAGCCAAGTCTACAGGACTGGATGTACCACAGCCACTGGGACCAAACACAATCACGTTTGTCTTCTTTTCATTGAAATTCAAGAAATTTTGTGCCATCCAGGTCTTGATTTCCTCCAGGCAGTGGCTTCAATGAGAAAGAGTCTTTTTTTGCTCAGTGGGACATACCTGTAGATCTGACAGTCATCCCGAAAGCAGTGGAAGGAAATACCATGTTTCCTTAAGATGGAACCCAATGGGAGCAGATACAGTGAGAACAACAGAGGCCATATAATTGAGCCATGTGGAACACTACATGACAGTGGAGCAGTACGTGACTCAGAGCAGCCAAGGCTAACATCAACATCGGCACTAACCTGGCAAGAGCCAGATTGATACGTTAATCACTCAAAGGAGTTCTCCACAGTATTTTTCTGGGACCGCTCCAATGTGTCTTGCTTGGGTAAAGGTGGGACATTTAGTCCAATACTTTTGCGCTGATTGGGCGACGCGGCAACTTGTGCAGGCCTAACAAACTTTTGTTTTGACCAGTCCTGGCAACGGATGAAAATGTTGACACGGGCATGCATTTTAATGCATGTGTTACTCTGATATGAATTTTCATAGACCAAATAAAGTTCGGTGTACATTTTAAACACAAATCTTTCTTCCTTTCTCCTTTACAGGCACTCACACATTTGTAACAGAAGGAGAGCATCTGGAGCTCGCTACCATCAGCAAAGATCAGTCCGGATCATATGAGTGCATTGCTTCAAATGACATATCCGCCCCTGATGTGAGGACAGTACAGGTCGCAGTCAACTGTAAGAGTCATGCAATCACTTTATCTGACAACAATTAGGGTGGTGCGTGTCTGTGATCTAAAAAAGGTGGATGAATTCTATATGCCTTACATACTTAAGTCGTGTATGATTTCATAGTACTGTATTAGTTTATTTACAGAGAGGTGTTTTAATAATAACAATAATAATACATTTTATTTGAAAGCGCTTTTCATCATACTAAAAGACACTTTACAAGAGCTTAAAACAGGGGATGAAAATGTACACTTAAAGACAAGCATACATGAGTCACAAAAAACACATTTAGATGAACAAAAAAAGCAAAAATCGGTAAAAGAGATTAAAAGGTGTTAAAAACATTGCGGAACAGGTGAGTTTCAAGAGATGATTTGAAGGATTGGAGGTCAGTACAATTGCGGATATGTTGTGGTAGAGTGTTCCAGAGGGGGCGGCGACAGAGAAGGCTCAGTCCCCCCAGGTTTTGAGCTTCATCACGGGGATAGCGAGGAGGTTTGTGTTTGTGTGGGGAACAGGGAGCCAGTGGAGGTTTTTAAGGACGCAAGTGATGCGATCACGAGCGCGGGTGTGGGTGAGTAGACGGGCGGCGGCATTCTGGATGTACTGTAGTTTATTGAGGAGTTTGGAGGTTGTACCGTAGAGGATGCTAGTGCAGTAGTCAAGGCGGGAGGTGATGAAGGCGTGGATGAGGTTTTGAGCGGCGTTGAAAGAAAGTGAAGGGCAGAGACGAGAAATGTTTTTGAGGTGGAAGAAAGCAGTTTTAGTGATTTGGGTGATGTGGTCGTCGACAGAGAGGTTATTATCAAAAAGGACACCGAGGTTGCGACAGTGAGAGGAGGGGGACAGGGTGCAGTTATCGATAGTGAGGTTAAAGTTGGAGGCTGTTTGGGTGAGGGACCGAGGACCGATTATTAGCAGTTGAGATTTAGTGCAGTTAAGAGTGACAAAGTTTGTTTGCATCTAGGATTTGATATCTGAAAGACAGTTAGACAGGGTGGAGTGGGTTGTTGGGGTAAATGATTCGGTGGAGCTGTACAATTGGACGTCATCAGCGTAGCAGTGGAACTGGAGACCAGGATGACAAATGATTTGGCCGAGGGGTGGAAGGTAGAGAATGAAGAGAAAAGGACCAAGCACAGAACCCTGGGGGGACACCTTGGGACAGTGGGGCAGTGTAGGAAGAGCAGTATGTTGATTTTGTCCTCTCATCAACATATGTGTCAGTATTATGTTTTGATACGTGCTGGAATATTGATATACCGTATTAAGTCGCTCCTGAGTAAAAGTCACACCAGCCATGCATAATAAAGAAGAAAAATAAAACATTTATAAGTTGCACTGGAGTATAAGTCACATTTTGGGGGGAAATTTATTTGATAAAATCCAACACCAAGAACAGAAATGTACTCTTGAAAGGCAAATAAAAAAAATAGAGAACAAAAGGCTGAATAAGTGTATGATATGCTAACGTTACATGATGCATAAACAATGAAATCAGAACGTGCCTGGAATGTTCACCTAACATATTTAGACTTATTCAGATCATTATAGCAAAAAGAAAATGCTAACAAGTTTACCAAATCATCTGTGTCACTCCGAATGACGAAATCAAATGTAATCTTCATCCACGGTGTCACTTGAAAACAACTGCACGAACTTCGGAGGTAGAAGATGCGACACTTCCCGTTCTACGTCGCTTATGTCAGACTCATCGTCAGTTGTTTTTTAATCAATTACCACCAATGTGGAAAGTATCAACAGAGCTCTAGAGCACCCTCTTGTGGTTTAGTGTGAAAATAACGTGAAATGATAGAATGTGTTAATTATCCCTCGGGAGTCCTCTCTGTATCATTAAACTGTATCATCCAAGACACAACTTGTTCGAGCAGGAATCTCATGTCATGAGTCTAAACATGTTTTTTATGTATTTTATAGATCCTCCCTTAATTTCTAAGGCAAGGGGTACAGGTACTGCAGTTGGACAAAAAGGAGTTCTTCAATGTGAAGCTTCGGCTGTGCCTCGGGCAGATTTTGAATGGTACAAAGAAGATCGCAGGCAAGTTTCACCTCGGAGCTCGTTCATTGCTATCCAATGCATTAATGCACAACGCAGAAATTCTGAGAGTTTTAGGTTGTGGTTTCACGCTCACACATCATGTATGATGTTTGAAATTAGATTACATTTTACCTCGCACTAGATTCAAAATCACACGAATTGTGAATTTTACTATTCAGCTGCTGATCAGAAAACACAATTTTTCCACAAAGTACTAAAACCGTTGGACAAAATTGAGCCAGGGTCAAAATAAGTTCAATTGTGCATGCTCGGTTCATCCAGAATTTTCATCCAAAAGGCCAATTTTTAATGAGTAGTGCAGTTGACAATGGGTCTCTAAGATTGGAACTTATTTTGATTTACAGTACACTGGAAATAAGTGTACAACATTGTCATGCGTTTAACTTTTAATTCCCATTGTTTAAACATATGAGTTTATTCAACTTAAGTTTCCAATTTTTATTCAGGTAGAATGCAATTTATTGATTTTAACCTAATGCAAATTTACAGCAAGCTCAGTGGCGTGCCATGAACCTGTCACAATATAAATTCTTTTTAAAAAAAAAAAATTCTTGCATTGTTAAGTTCTATGAATAATTTTGTTTATTTTTGTACTGTTTTAATGTCTGGTTTTATTTTTAAATGTTTTACAATGTTGTATCGATAATGAATTGCCTATTACTGTATTCCAAATGCATTTTAAGCACTTTTTAAAAAAAAAATCGGCATTATGGTAGTTTTAAATCTTTGAGGCAAATGAAATGTATACTGTTCCAATGTACAAATGTGGTTTATACAAAGGAAAAACTTTCATCTTGAACTGAGGATTCTTTATATTAGGTCATTAATCCAATTTAAATTTTGTTGGCTTTGCTTTAACAAATGACAGTTCTTGAAAGTAAAACCCTCAGGTTATACCAATGGACAATTTTTTTAATTGATCGAGGACTAAATATTGACTGTGACGGATTGCTTCCATTTTTTTAGAAGTTCATGTAGTGTTTTCTTTTTTCTGTGGAGGAGATTTTCCAGTTGGTAAAATTTCAATTTGAAGCTGTGAAGCTTGTAATGCAGTTTGAACCAAGACTCTCTTTGTCATATGCCGATTCTGATATCATTTTCATGAGATTATTTTTTCTCATGGAAAATGTACAGGTATATTTAAATGGTTATAATTAAGATATAAATAGACATAACATTCATTTAAAGCATATTATCTGCTTTGTTAAAAACTCTGATGAGTCAGTTGGGAAACAGCCACATGAACTTATACATGATTCAGAGAAAGCTTACTTTTTTTCAAAAAAAAAAAAAATTGAAGTTGCTCCTGTCTGTATTTCAGGCTGTCCAATGGAAATAATAGGATCAGGATCGAGAATCGAGGCAAACAGTCAATGCTGATCTTCTTCAATGTTTCCGAAGAAGACTATGGCAACTACACGTGTGTTGCGATGAACACCATGGGGATAACTAACGCCAGCATAATTCTTTATGGTGAGTTCGATTGCTGAATTTATATTGTGTATTACATGGCAGAGGTCAATTAATGACCTCTGTGGGGCTTGTTTTCAGTGGAATGATGTGAGCTTTTAAATTTTTTTTTCCCCCCACAAGTAAGGCTGGTGCATTTACCACTTTGTGGACAACTGTTTTTAGGCAAATAGTTGAACAGTTTAAGAACAAAATTGAAGATATATTTACAACAAAATGGGGGGTTTCATCATCAGAGTATCTGCAGAAACCTCCGCACGAAAATGGCTGGGCCGAAAAGCAACACTGAATGCCCGTTGCCTTTATTCCCTCGGTCGGCCTCCTTTAAAAAAAAGAATAACTGTGCCGAGGATCAATGTTCCCTCGAATTTTTCATATGTCTGGGCAAACGGACAACCTCCCTGAGCATACTGAGGACCACTATGAGCAATATCAGAAGCGCTCGCTGTGGCCACACATTAGTATCACACCCGGGATTAAAGAAAGTTCATGGTTTATTATTAAAACCCATGTGCTGCAGTCGATCTAAACAAGTTTATATAACGCAACATACAATTTTACAAAAATTGTAAAAGTATTATTCCTGAATATTTATTTCACTTTCAACCACTCGACATGTTCAGTGGCATCAGTGCTATACATACACATATAGTTCTTATTTTTTTTCTTTGTATTTTTGCCCTCTATGGACAATAAAAGCGGCATTGTGCTATGACCAAAACATAAATATAAATCTATATAAATAAAACATGAATTGGAATATTTCATATCACACACTTTTTATGCTGTGTCTTTGATTTAAAGATGACGTGATGAAGAATACGCAAAAATCTACAAAAATTGTAGAAATTGTAACATATGGGGTAACCCATGTGTTACAAACATCGTAGAAATTGCAGCACAAGGGTTACAAGGATCAAATTACAACAGCATAAGTCTACTTTTAATATAACTAATTTGGCCCACTTAAAATGAAAAAGCCAAAACTCATTGATTGTTCATGAGTAGTGCTGTCAAGGGATTAAAAAAAGGTGAGATTAATTAATTATGATCTGTAACTCATTGAACTAATTAATCCATATTTTAATCTCATCTAAAAATTGAGAAAATCCTTATTTTCGTTTTAAATTCATTACATTATTGAGCATTTAGGCAGATCAAAAGATTCACATCACAAAAAAGTGGTATGATAAAGTATTTTATTGTTTTCAAACAGACTTTGAACAGATGCCGTCCAAGCCATCTACTTTCTGCTGTATTTGAGACTAATCCCAAATCCAACTTGCAACCTTTAGTTTCGACCACAGGGGGAATATCACTGTTTTGTTTTTATAAATCTCCAAATAATTACAAAATAAAAATAAAAGAGAACACCAGGTCCATAAAAATTGCTTAGGTTAACATACCAAAAACTGTAAGAACACTTTTCTGAGCAATACAAGTACTGAACATGGAACTTGCTTCAGATAATAAATAAAACAGACCCTTAAAGCACACTTTTCTCCGCCGCACTGGTATTGTTATAGAGCGTGCATGAGCAGAGCACATGCGCAAGTCCTGTCAATGTCATGATTGGCTGCATAGCGTCATCGCATCGTATCGTAAGATTGGCTGGACACCTGTCACTCACTGAATTACACTGCAAAATGATGCTGGAAAAAAAGTTATATATTTATTTCATTTGCAGTGTGTTCGCTGCGCTAGACAGGTTTTCTTGTGAGCTGAGAGTGTGCGACTAGTGCGCAGTTGCTCACTATTTCTACTAATTCAAGTTATAACTTGACAATGCCAAGCGAAAGCCATATACAACGGCGTTACTTTGTAGTGATCTGTGTGTCCTGCCAGCAGTCCAGACCTGTCTCCCACTGAAAATGTGTGGCTCATTAATCACCAAATATTGCAATGGAAACCCCATATGTTGACCAAGTGAAGTTGTACATCAAGCAAAAATGGGAACAAATTCCTTTTACATAGCTTCAACAATTAGTCTTTTCACCTCCAAAAATTTATTGAGCATCGTAACAAAGTCATATCCATGTCCCGGTCCCAGCTTTTTGAGAACATGTTTCAGGCATCAAATTCAAAATTTGTGAATATTTGAAAAATCACAATTTCATTTACCAGTTTGAACATTAAATATTTCTGCAAACAATTACTGTATATTCTGTTTTATTTATGTTTCATACACTTCTTCATATGTCTGGGTTTCGGGACAGTGTGGCAAGAGGATGCCTTATCTTACAAAGAAAACCATCCAAGCCTGGATCCATTTTCCAAAAACACGTTTGAAATTTCAGAAAAGAATGTGGAAAAATGTGTTACAGTCCGATGAAACCAAACCATGGCTAAAAAGTTCAACACATTTTAACCAAAATTTGAAACTAAAAGGAGACTGCTCAACACCAAAACAAACACCAATACCTACAGTCAAGTATCGTGGTGGGAACATCATAATTTGGGGCTGTTTTATTTCAGATGGAACTGGTGAGGGTGGAGGGAATAATGAACAGTTCCACACACTAATCAGTGTAATATAGTATATATATATACACACACTATACTGATGTACTATATATGCGGCACGGTATTCAACTGATTTGCGCATCCGCCTCACAGTACAAAGGTTGCGTGTTCGATTCCAGGCTCCGGCCTTCCTGTGTAGCGTTTGCATGTGGCCAACTGAGGAACTTTACAAAACCTGGTTAAAGCCGGTCAACCCGGAAAGTGTTGCACGTGCGACCTTCAAACTTTGCACACTGGGTGTCAATGAAGTGAAATCGCCAAGCTCGATTGCTACAACTCTCAAAGTGGTTTCCATGGGCACTCCATACCCCTTCGAGAACCAGGGGGCGAGTGTATGCTTGTCTTGTCGCTTGGAGTGTCTCCAAGTCACTTATTCGATGTGGTGCGTATTTTATTCAGCAATTCCAAAAGATAGATCATCTAACATCTGTTTTATTTCTGGCTCATCTGCCAGAAAACTGCCTCACTAATGTCATTACGCATCCTGTCAAGAATTAGGCACAGGTGGTTTGGACTCAAGTGCACAGACTCAAGAGTTGGGGGGCAAAAAACTTTTAATCCAGGGAAAAGTCGGTACACGTGAAAGACAAAATTATCAGGCAGAGACCAAAAAACAGGGTTAAAAGCCAAAAAAAAAAAAGGCCCCGGTACAGAATGACGATGAGAAGACAAAAGCGCTGGAACGTGACCTGAGTCGAATCAACCAACTGGCAAAGAGACAAGACACGCGAGGGGAATATATACAGGGCTTGATTGGGGATGTGAAACAGGTGAGGGCAAAACAATCAGGGAGCAGGTGACACAGACGAGGAAGGGGCGGCGAGGCAGAGAGCAGGCAGTAAATCATGACACATCCGTATTGAACTGAAGAAAAATAAAGGCATACATCGTGCAAGAGTCATTAAAACAAAATTTAGCAGTAATGACTGATAAAACAAAAATGATATGAAAAATTCAAATAAACACACATGAGACAGGCATTCGTTAGAGACTGACAGACAAAATTCCAAATCCGTCTGTGCTTAGTCGGGCATCCGTCAATGATGCCCACCTCTAACACTTAGTGATTTGGTCATTTGTTCAGCTGTACCACGCTGAACTTGATATGTGCTCGAGACAACTGAATTGGTTGAAGAATTTTCGTTGTTGTGTATGACATACCGTATTTTCCGGATTATAAATTGCTCCGGAGTATAAATCGCACCAGCCATAAAATACACAATAAAGAAAAAAAAACAAACAAACATAATTCGCACTGGAATATAAATTGCATGTTTATGGGGAAAAGTATTTGATAAAATCCAACACCAAGAACAGAGAATTTAAAATAAAAATCAAATAGCGAACAACAGGCTGAATCAGTGCACGATATGCTAACATTACATGACGCTTAAACACTCAACTGAGAACATGCCTGGTATGTTCACGTAACCTATTCAAAGTTATTCAGATAACTAGAGCATAAAGAACAAGCTAACAAGTTTACTAAACCATCAGTGTCACTGCAAATCACTAAATCCAATGAAATCTTCATCCTCCTTGTCACTTGAAAACAACTCCGCCCACTCAGGAGGTAGACGATGCTGCTCCTTCTTGTACGTCGCTTACGTCAGACTCATCGTCGACTTATCAGCAGAGGCCTAGAGCGCCTTCTTGTTGTTCAATGTGAAATAGCATGTGAAATGATACAATAATGTGTAAATAATTTTACACATCAGTCACTCCAGAGTATAAATCGGCCAAACTATGAAAAAAAACGGTGATTTAAATACGGTATATAACTATTAAATGACAAATGACATACCGGTATATTTGACAACTTAAAGTAGCATGAGAAGTTATGCTGAGGGTTTTTGTTTGGTTATTTTTGTTTGTTTGTTTTTTTGTGTGTGTGAGCTAAGCATGGTAGAAATGTTGCATTTTTTTCCCCCCTCAGGACCTGGCGCAATGCATGATGTCAACAGGGCCGCTGTTTTGCCCCAATTCTCTTTATGCACCTTGCTGATGATGACCAACCTGCTGCTGGAGTTCTGATGTTTCAATGGGACTACCTACAAGCTTCTTTCTGCATTGAAAAAGAAGAAACTGTTGCCATGTAAAATTTAGGGAAGGGAAAAAAATGAAGAGGCGCCAGTTGTTGGTTTTGAGTTTTCTCTTATTTTGCATTGGAGTCTGTCCCCCTCAAAATGTGTGGCATTAATCAAATGAAGGGAAAAAAATCGGTGCATTCTAATTTAATGTTGATCAAGTCCTGAGTTTGTGTATGCCCCAAACTTTTGTATGTGAAAAGAAAAAAAGAAAAAAATAATCAATGTAACTGTTGATGGTTGACTGTTTCTTGCCCAATATCGGAGTGCACATTCTGATGATTATTGTGTAATGTCGATGTGTACTATACAACTTAACTTTTTTTAAGTACATGATAAAAGGGAAATTGATTGTCGAGTTTAATCTGACTGTATTTTTACAGTTATATGCAAAACAGAATAAGACACTCTTCATGACGAGCAGTAAAAACACAACATGATGAATTCTCAGGCAAGTCCTACTACATCATGCATCGAAATTGTATTTTACATTAGCGTGTAGAAAATGTATAGATCTGTACAGAAGAGAAACAGGTTAAGATTTTGTTTGTTTATGTACAGTAGATCAAAACTGTAAAGCTGGCCTCCACACAATAACTGTGTCATTGCAGCTTCATGGCATATTCATACAAAAGCACTGATGTTTTTGTTTTTTCTGCTGGGATGTGAGTTGAACATGTTTAAAAGTACTGCAAATGTGTTGGTGTGAGTTGTGTGAATTAAGTCTGCTTGTTTTGTACATTAGGTTGTCACAACGTACTTATGCAATTTGCACGACAAATTAAAGAAACGCCTATTTGTTGTTTTTTAGATGGGAGGGGTCACATTTTTAAAGTGTGAATTACAGTACATATGCATTTTTATAATCAGCAGATTGCGGAGCCACCTAGAAAACAGGTATGGGAATTTTCGAAAAGCAGTGTTTCCCGTATTCAGTAACGTTTTAGACAATTGCCCAACAGTCACTGTAAAATGACCTGTCGTCAATAAAATTATGCCTGACTGAGTAGCAGTTCATAAATTTCGATGCAAACATTGGAAAAAATACATTTCAAGGTGATTCACCTCTATCTCAAGAGTGTTTTTCCATATGTTTGACTGACATTTATTTTATGGCATTAATGGGAAAAAATGTTCGAGTGTTATTTGTTTGATTTGTCCGGGTCATGCAATTGAGAACAGTTTATCATGTGCAATGCTGTCCTGTCAGCCAACGGCAGAGTAAAACAAAGCAAAAATACAAGCAAATACAAATATATAGACAACATTCGTGTCATCTTTATGCACCTTTAGTTTTTATTTGTCGGGGTTTGGCAACAAACAAGAATATTTGAAGCAGAGAAGTTGAATCATCTTCAACGAATGTACCATCGAGTAACATGGTGGATTTTTTTTTTTAAGTTTAATGGATGGGTGCCTTAAACCCAAATTGATAAAAGATGAATGGGAAACTGTCAGAGATTTTTCTCGGACAAAGTTAAAGAAATGACTCGGCACACAGGAAAATTGTCTTCAATATCGGCGGGAGGGGGATCTCTGAGAGCGAACGACGGTAGTTGCTCCGATGATCACACTCTCGAGCTCCCTTCCCGCCAATTCCGACTTTTATTGTAACATACAAGGAAAACACTGCCCCCGACATTTGCATACCGCACCCCCGGTCCGGCCCCTCGGTAGTGATTGGTTACCTGAGTTTAAGCTTTGAACCACCAGTACATTGGCGCCTTTCTGTCTGGTCCACACTGTATCAACATGTTGCAGACTTCGCGGACGACAAATGTCGCCTGGGCGCGACGGGTGTTCTCAACTCGTCTTTTGTTGTTCAACCGCTGTTCCCAAATTATTCATTCCCCTTTTGTGACCGAGTTTCGCCCCCTCCCCTGTGATTGCCCACCTGCATTGACGTGCTAATTGTGGACTTCAACAGC